TAGTGGGTAATTTGCCTGGTGCTGGTTGAAATCCTGCCAGATGTGCTCACAACTTGCCACCCTCTTTGGGGAACAACCCATAAAATCAGGGCTAGATGTTCACAGGGAGGTAAATGGCCTGGTATGGGGTCTCCTGTAGCCATCATTTATTCCTTCTGTGGCATCATTGGCATTTTGCATGGATAGTTTATTGAGCAAAATGGTTTGGAATCAGGAGTTAAACACGTCTCGCTTTAGCCCTTCTGCTCCAAAATCTGGAGACCCTGTATGCATGTTACAATTTTAATAAGAGGTGATGGGCTCATCACAAATATTACATTGCCGTAAGGTTTCACCTCTTCACTCTTTTACCCGAAGCCCTGAGTGATAGGACCAGCCAATCTTCCCCCAGCACATTCTCTTCCATTAATCCTCCCCCAGCCTGGCTCATTGAAAGGCCTCCTTCAGAAGTGTGGGGAGCCTTTCAAGCCCACCTCTCTTTAGAAAGTCCCATGATGCAATTCTGGCCATGATGTGAGAGCATCTTTCTCTCTCCGTGGTAGGGTACCGTCAAATTCTGCACCAAAGGGTTAATTCCTTGGTTTTGTGCATTTGAATTTTGTCAGGGGGGAGACATTTCTTCTCTTTTGTAGGGAGGGGGCTTTGCTCTCTTGCAAAACTGTGTTTGGATCCTGGGGGATCTGGCAGATCCTGGCTGCGGGGTAGAAATTCTCCTGCAAAATTGCCTGGACAGCACTGTGGCAAATCTGGGTTGAATGACAACTGAGTAGCAAACATGTTACTTGAGCATGGCATAAGTGAACCTTCCCGTCCCACCTCTTATAGCTCAGTGTTCTGGAACTAAACTCAGCTTCTTTTGTGATTGGTGACACCCACACAGCTACTTTAAACCCCAGAAGAATGCCAATTGTTAGTGCATTCTGCTGATTGGAAGAGCCCCTAGGTCAGGAAGATTCCTAGCCTAGTCATCCCATTGTATGTGGACTTATCTTTAGGTAGCCAAAATGACACAGTCCGCTCATAGGAGATTGGTACCACTGAGGATCTGAACGGTTGGCAGAAAAGGAAGGAAGGAAGGAAGGAAGGAAGGAAGGAAGGAAGGAAGGAAGGAAGGAAGGAAATCCTTATGGGAAGTGGCTGAAATAGCTCAGGGAGGAAAGAGGATGTTTGATGGATGTCCAGAAGATGCTTGTCTGAGGAGGAAGTATGATGGAAGATGGCATGGCTGAATAGACTCCTGAACAAGAACATTTAATGTTGGCACATTCTCTCGCTCATTGAGAGGAGAAGCTCAGTGGAGTCACTGAGTGTTTCCAGAGGATGGGGACGCTCAGGCTAGGTTCATACACCGTGATTAGCCATAAGGTGGTTTGCTTCATTTTGGTGTGGTATGTCATAGGAACTCCATCTTTGTGGTTTGTAAGCTATGCTTTGTAGTTTCATGATATGTGTGAACCCAGGCAGTTGCAGCTTAGTCCATAAACTGTGGTTCAGGAAAGCTTAGCTGACCACGGGGTATGCACCCTGTTAGTGAAAGGGTGGTGTTTTGTGTGCATGACCATCAGGGGCTGGCTAGGAATGCAGGCACAATGTTCAAAAACCTTGATCTGTCTTCAGCCATGCAATTCTTGTCATCTTTTTTATCAGGCAGGAATCCAAGAGGTTCCAACCCAGCCTTTTCCTCTGGCAGGAGACAAAGTCAACCGAGGTTGCACCTAGCACGATGCTACCCTCCCTGTTTGACTTACTAGTGTTTGGGAAGCATATGACTTCACCTTTGTTTCCCTCAGGGGAATACAAACAACAGCTGAAACCGCATGCCGCTCAATAATAAAAAGGACAATAAAAGGGCCCTCAAATAAATGCAATCAAATGACTTTGTTTTCCAAATTGGAATGCAGCTTAAGGTACTTAAAAAAAGCAGGGGGGGGGACCATTTCTAATGCATCAGCAACAGGGTAGAACGAGATTGAGCACCTTCTAGCTCAATGATTCTAACCTTCTCCATGTCTGGCTTAACCTAACAGTGGGACTGGAGAGGAATTTATCTAATGAGTCTCCTTCTTATTCCAAATGGAGGCTGTGCAGGATTCTACCATGTGGAGGCTCTAAGTGAGTGTTCCCTTATGGCCACTTCCTCCCTAGCCTTTGGCCCCGGCCATTTTCCATCCCAACTTCCCCTGGCTTTCCATTGAGCAGGGGCCTCCCTTAAAGACTATAGCCCTGGGAAGGGTTGGAAAAAGTGTCCCCTCTACCTCTGCCAAGAGGGACACCATCCAAGAGCAGGGACCAGTTGCTTCCCCACCCTGCTCCTCCGGTGTGCAATGGCCCCGCAATCTCCCTCGCCTTCCGCTCACCCCTTCCCTATTCTTCAGGCCTGCAGGAGGGCCGTCTTCCTTTTGTCTCACCCCTCGCACCCCTGCGCTGCTCCTGGGTTGGCCAGGAGCCCAACCTTCCTCCGTCATCCTGCCCGGTCAGCTGGAGCAGTGGTGAGGCACCCTGCCTGGCCTTGAATCAGCTGGAGAGGGAAAGAGAGAGGTGGGGGACTAGGGAAAGCGGCTTCCAGCAGTAAGGGGAGGGGGAAGGGGAGGAGATCAGCCTTTTCTGATGCTTTTATCCATTTTGTAAGCTCCCTACCCCACCCCACTTTTGGAAGAGTTGCACTTTGCCCTGATGCGAAATGCTAGGCAAGGTTGGGAGAAGTTCCACCTCGCTTATTCTGCAGTGGTCTTCTTCCCCTGGCTGCCTTCCCTAGGAGAACCTTGGAGCTGAGGAGGAAGGGGAAAATCAGGTTGATGCTTCTTTCCTTTCTAGCTCATCTCCCCACAGGCCTTGCCCGGGGATGGGGGGGGGGGGGGGGGG